GGCAAGTACCATACCGCGAAGTGGAATGGTGGAGGTGAAATTAAAGATAAACATGCTTCTCTCGTGCTAAGCGATGCGTCGACCTGAACAAAAAAATTGGCTGGCTCCCCAGCACCCCCTGAAAGGACACGGGTACCCATGACACACACCTTCTCGTTGCCTGTTTTGTTGTCCCCTACAGCTTTCCCCGTCTATGCCCCCAGCTCAAACAAGGATTCCTTCCATATAGTGACTTGGTTTTGCCCCCCTCCCCTCCCCCACCCCCCCCTAAAAAAAAAAAAAACACACACACACACACACAAACACTGCGGCAACAACAGCACCATGCTACGTAGAGATGACCTCTACCAGGTTTTCCCCTGCTCCTCCAAATTCTCCCGAACACGATGCACACGTCGCGTGGCAGTCTAGAGCTTTGATCCTCATGACTAGCTTCTCCACTTGCAGTACGGCAGTACAGCAAGGCTCATGTGTGAATCACACAAATACTGCGGCAACAACAGCACCATGCTACGAAGAGAGGACCTCTACAAAGTTTCCCTATTCCTCAACTTTTCCCTGAACACGATGCACAAGTCGCGTGGCCGTCTGGAGCTTTGAGATCCTCATGACTAGCTTTCCACTTGCAGTAGTGCAGTATAGCAAGGCTCAGGTGTAAATCTAGCCCACTGCCCCAACCCTCTCCCCTAAGCCCTGGGCCTCCCTTGCGTGCCTCCCTCACTCCTACCTTCCTCCATCTCTCCTTCCTCTCCCCTCCCCCTTGAGGACCCCCCGAAAACCCTGGGAACCACAATAGGAGTGTGATACTCAACATGATACAACTTCGTCAAACGGTGGAGAAAGTAGAGGCACTGGCCTTTGACAAACTCCAGAAAACAGAAGGGATCACCACCCAGGACCTCCTGGACCTTTGGGACGCTCTCCCCAAACCATGCTTGCAGGGTCCCACACAAGGCAGGTCCTATATCACGGGAGCCAGTCACAGACACTCGGAGGCGCCTGTACACAACACCTTTGACACGCCATGCGTGACACAGGCCCTTACACGCTACATTAGGACCAGAGCTCCGGGGATCCCATTTGCGGGGGCCACCATCAGAGAGGGCTCCACTAAGGGTGTCCACCGAGACCCTATGAACTCGGCGATTCCTGCGATCGTCATGGGGTTGACGAAACATGACGGGGGAGATCTCTGGATTGAACACCCGGAGGGAGATGTGGCCATGAACCACGAGGGTGCGGTGAAGAGGGGTAAAGTCTACGACATCAAACGTATGCCCGTGGTCTTTTCTTCCTGTACTCTACTCCACGGGCCAATGCCCTGGACTGGAACACGTCGGCTGATCTTGGTGGCTTTTACCCCTAGGAATGTGAAAACATTCTCCACGGAACTCAAATCCCTGCTGCTCTCCCAAGGATTTGTCATGCCGACTAAGGCGCAGCTTTGCAGGTATGGCGCACAGACGACGTGGCCGGGAACGGCTCAGCTGTCCCTGCCAAGCACCATCTTCAGACAAGGGGTTCAAGCTCCACCCTCCCATTCCATGCGGACCCCGATGACGGAGGTAGTGCCGCTCCTAGATGTCTCGAGCTCGGATGAAGACACTCAGGGCGTAGGTTTGCGGGTCACCGGGATGGCAAAACCCCCCCCCCCCAATTACCTGCAGAGGCTACTGAAGGAGGATGCTGAGGATGTAAAATGAGGTCCCGTGGCTTGAACAACCGAAACCCTCGTCCGCTGCAACCCGAACATCGCCTTCCCCCGGCCCGCCGCGTACACGCCCACGGAACCCCCAGCCCCCCCCGTGCCTGAAACGCGCGCAACCACTGAGCCCTCAGCCTGAACATTCGATACACCCTGACCCACCCCAGCGTATCAAACGAGCCAAGACCCTCCCAGCCAGGCTGAGCCGGGCTAACTCGGAGGAAAGCCAGCACGCGACATGAATGAACATCCATGCTCCCCTCTCAACGGGGGATATGCAAGTCAATTAGAGGCCGATGCACGCACCCATGCATGTTTTGCAGACTTCGCATGCACCCGTGATGGCTGTGCGTGCCGGTGGAGGGGAGGGCGAGTGAATCTTTGCACATACATGTCTGTTTGGGCAGAATGCTTGATTACAGGCGACCGCCTCTGACGCCAAAATGTACCCACACAGCACACTAATGCAGGCAGCCAACATGCTCTTTGAAGTGGGCCACTGCCCTGAACCACTTAACGTAAAGGACTGACGTCCTGCCGCCACGCCATGCCCCCGGCTTTGCGTCCGCTCCAGGTCGTCGCCTCGTCTTGGCTCTTCTGCGCTCTCGCCTCTCCAGCCTCTTGCTCTCCCGTCTGTGACTCCCCTCCCTATCCTCCCTATCCTCCCTATTCCCCTTTCCTTGACTCATTTGTAAGTCCCCCCCTACTAGATGACTGTAACCCTAGTGGTCACTCCGTGCAGCCATGGCTGTGGCGTCATCTCCTCTGGATCGTCGTCCTCGGCACCAGAGGCCCGGGAAACAGAACAGCTGAGGACAATGCGGCAGGTTCAAAGCCCCTTAGAGGACTTCTCCTGCAATTCTGGCAAAGGGAACAGGCCACTCGTGGGGCGAGACTGACTGCGGGGGCGACAACCGCTCCGCGAAAGATCAACCGCAGAAAGGCCGCCTGATCCAAACTTGACCGGAATATGTGCAGCAGATCCAGACCGCCGCGAGGTGCACCAGACCCACGCCGCCAGTGGAACTTTGGCTGTGAACCTTTGTCTTTGGCTGTGAACCTTTGTGAAGGACATGTCGTAACATAGACGCTGAATATGGGGAAGACAGCAATGCTGTACAAGATCCATTGAAGCCTTTGCGGCGGATCCAGACCACTCGCAAGGCTCTTGCTGACATCCAGGGCGATGAACTTCCTAGCGGGAGCACAGAGGACAGAAATGCGCTGGCCATGGGGAGAGATGGCTGCTGGTTGTGGTGGGATGCACTACACACAGAGGAGGTAGGCGAAATGACTGACTGGCAGAGGAACGTGGCAAAGTGAGCTGACAGAGCCTGACTGGCACCTGCGCAACACAGCGGGCATTCCCAAGCTCTGCTCTGTGCATGAAAATTAACCAACACGGGTCCCTTCAAATTTGTAATTTGTAATTCAGTCTCACACATCCACGACCGCTCTGACAGGCCATAGACGAAGGTTTCAGTTGTATATTTTCTGGTGGTCAGACTTTGGTGTCTACCTGTTTCTGTTTTTTTGACCTACTTGTGGCCGCAGAGCTCCCCTAATTTGTAATTCATAATTCGTCATACTGAGCTCCTCTGAATTCGTAATTCGTAAATTCGGTGCACGACCTCAACTTTTGGGTGGGCTTGTCTTCCGTTACTAAGGTTTAAGGGTCTTTTACATGGCTCCCTTAATTTGACGGTCGTCATATAAAGCTCCCTTAATTCGTAATTCGCTGCATGCCCTCGCAAGCATGTCCGCCAGGCTCCCCTAAGTCTTGGTGAAATGGCATATACAGCTGTGGCCATGACTATTCAGGTTGTAGTTGGCCTAGTAGGCCTTGGTACTTAGTCCGTTGTCAAAGGTGCACCAAGACTTAGATCAGAGCGACAGTAGAGCCACTCCCTTTGACATGTCGTCGCAAGTCGGATGAGGTTACACTGATTCACGAATTGGCCACAGGCGTGCCCATAGTCGAAATCTTGCTGCGAATCATCCGACTTGACGCCACGCGGGGCTGGATTTGCGTCCAACCTAACAGCACTGTTGGTGAAGTCTTGACGACCTCACAGGAAGGTTGTGATCTGCACTACCCGAGGGTAGTCCCTTATCTCTCAGCGGCCACAGGCGTGCCCATGACCTGATTTTAGGACCGACCTCGTGCGGATCATGACAGTTGCTCACACAAGGCCACATGCCCGACGACTTCTTGTATGTCCTTTGGTTGTGTACTCTACTTAGTCTGTTGCTGCAAATTGTCGGGTTGAGATGGGCCTCGACTGCCTCCCTAGACCAATGAGCCTAGGCAGGCCGTGTACACAGTAGCAGTGAGGTGTATGTCAGCCTCAACGCACAGCAAAGGGGAACTGCGCGGGGAATTTTGTACTCATGAACGGGCCACAGGCGGGTCTATTGCAGATTTCACTCATCGGTGCTCGGGCAGTTCGCCTTTGAGATATGCCACAGCGGGCTGCCTCCTAAGGCCAGCAGTCTCACAAGGGGGTGCACCGCGGGCTGTATGAAGATCCATCCGGTTTGCTAGGTGGGTATTGCGTCCTTCTGGACCATCAACTGTTGTTACGTGGCCCCGCACTGACCTGCTGCATCCCCGCGAGCATTTCGTGGCCATTTGTAACCATGCCATGTTGTCAGACTGGATGCATGGGCGTGGGGTTAGGAGCTGTTTGGTCTGTACTGAGTTGTTGAGATTTTGCTTGGTTCTTGTTAATGTGCTATCCGCCACTGGCCCGCGTCCCCTCAAGGACATCAAGAGAGGGCAGGGCCCTTTGAAACGCCTAGCCCGGCAGGCGATACTACTGCCATGTGCATAGTTAAGTTGGGACCACACGTGGGAGGGGGGCTCATACTTGCTACCCGCTCACTAAGTTGGTCGATGGGCCTGTTCAGCCAAGTGCTTGAGGGTATTTAGGTTGGTTTTAGGCGTGTGGTTGGCTTTGGGGCTTGTGTACTCTGTTCCTGTTGAGCGTTTCAAGGCTGAACGTGGCAGCTTAGAACCCACATATGTCCTCCCCTGAATGCCTCACGGCTAGAATCCTCCGGGGAGGGATAGTAATCCCATATCCCAGGGGAAGTTTTTTTACCTTTCTTCGAGACCGACCTATCATCCCCGCTTTGCTGTGGCTAGTCGGGTGCCAAAAAAAGGATTTAGGGTTTAGGGTTTAGGGTTTAGGGTTTAGGGTTTAGGGTGATTTAGGATTTAGGATTTAGCGTTCAGGGCCCAACATCCCCCAAATCCGAAAGTCCAACTTGCGTTTCCCACGAGTGCCTGCAGGATATGATGCCAGATCTCAAGGAAGCAAGGGTGGTTTTGGTGGACCTGTCCGAAACTTGGTCTTCATTTAGATGCGGGTTTTGGGTTTGGGCTTCAGGGTTTCGAGTTTGCGGTTTTTTTTCGATGTGATCGTAAGCCCGATGACCAAGTGGACCCCATGATTGGGATCATGTACCCTACCCTGAAGCCTATACCCGAAACCCTAAACCCTATGCTAGGATAGTCCCTTTTAGGGTATGGAACATGAACCCTTTGAGGGTCCATTGAGTCCCCCAAACTCTGGGACGATGTAGCACCTACTTTGCTCTAAACTAGAAGCCCGAAACCTTAAGCCCTGGTACTCCAAGAACCAGCTGTGACTAGGATGCCCGGTCCTGGTACAATCCTGAGGCCCCAGGTCACAAGGGGCAAAGGGCGCCAGGTTTAGGGTTTAGGGTTTAGGGTTTAGGGTTTAGGGTTTAGGGTTTAGGGTTTAGGGTTTAGGGTTTAGGGTTACCACCGCCCGCCAAACAAAAACCTTGAAGCTCATACTTAGAAGCTCCTTTGACGTAGTATCCCCTAGAATCCCTATTCGAATCCCCCTTAACCCACCTTACTTTAACCCTACTTACTCACTCAAACATCGCTTCCAAGTACCGAGGACATGAGCGAGTTCATTGCTTGTGTCCAGAATCGCTTTGTGTTCGAGACGTGTGTTTCCAGGCTCGTCTAGATCCGGGAGCCCAAGAAGGGCTTGCAGAAGTGGAGGGGGGCGGGGGAGGGGGGGGGGGGGGGGAGTGCAAACAGCTGTATAAGCACAAGAATGACTTGTACACACAGTGTATATACATATATCTATATACATATATATATATATATGGTACCCCCCCCCCCCCCCATGGACCTACCTTTTTTTGAAACCTCGGCTTGACCGATGTTTCAAAAAAGGGTGGCTTCTCCAAAACATTGGTTTTACCAATGTTTTTGAACCCCTACCTTCAAAAAACATTGGTTTTACCGATGTTTTTTGAGCCCATGCTCACGAAACATCGCAAAAACCAATAAAAACCATGAAAAACCATGATTTTCCAAACTATGGGCTTGGGTCTCCGAGTAGTTTGAAAAATCATGGTTTTTATGGTTTTTATTGGTTTTTGCGATGTTTCCTGAGCAGGGGCTCCAAAAACATTGGTTTTACCGATGTTTTTTGAAGGTGGCCTCTCCAAAACATTGGTTTTACCAATGTTTTTGAACCCCTACCTTCAAAAAACATTGGTTTTACCGATGTTTTTTGAGCCCATGCTCACGAAACATCGCAAAAACCAATAAAAACCATAAAAACCATGATTTTCCAAACTATGGGCTTGGGTCTCCGAGTAGTTTGGAAAATCATGGTTTTTATGGTGTTTATTGGTTTTTGCGATGTTTCCTGAGCAGGGGCTCCAAAAACATTGGTTTTACCGATGTTTTTTGAAGGTGGCCTCTCCAAAACATTGGTGTTACCAATGTTTTTGAACCCCTACCTTCAAAAAACATTGGTTTTACCGATGTTTTTTGAGCCCATGCTCACGAAACATCGCAAAAACCAATAAAAACCATAAAAACCATGATTTTCCAAACTATGGGCTTGGGTCTCCGAGTAGTTTGAAAAATCATGGTGTTTATGGTTGTTATTGGTTTTTGCGATGTTTCCTGAGCAGGGGCTCCAAAAACATTGGTTTTACCGATGTTTTTTGAAGGTGGCCTCTCCAAAACATTGGTGTTACCGATGTTTTTGAACCCCTACCTTCAAAAAAACATTGGTTTTACCGATGTTTTTTGAGCCCATGCTCACGAAACATCGCAAAAACCAATAAAAACCATAAAAACCATGATTTTCCAAACTATGGGCTTGGGTCTCCGAGTAGTTTGAAAAATCATGGTTTTTATCCTCTAACATCCTACTAAACTAGTATGAGCCTAATCCAATAGGAATCCCTTCAAATCAATGAGAATCCTACGCGAATCCCAGTAACATGCATAAGAATCCTACCTTATTCAATTGGTAGGAGCCTTAGGGCGTGATGTCTTAAGATATGTTGCTAAGGTACAGTGTTAGTATAGATGTTAGGACTTGCTTATCGGGGGATGATTGTTTGAGATATCGTAGTTAAGGTAGTGTTTTTAGGACAGATGTCAGGTCTTGGCGTATTGGGGCGTGATTGATTGTAAGGAGGTTTTGGTACTCTCCCAACATTTTCGTAGAATTAATAGGATTAGTAGGAACCCTATTAAACTGAAGAGGAACCCTACTCAAATTAATAGGAACCAATCGGACTCCTATAAGAAATAACGTGAACCTTTAGACAAACCGATTAAAATGAACATGAGCCTAAACCAACAGGAATCCCTTGAAAGTGAATGAGATCCCTTTAATATTAACACGAACCCCATTAACGTGAATAAGAGTCTGATTAAAATTGATAGGACTCTTATTACAGAAAATAGGGGCCTTATTAATAATTAATTAGGAACCCTATGAAACTTTATTGGGATCCTATGAAAGTAAATAGGAATCCTCTATTGAACTATCGGGACCGGACAACAGTTAATAGGAAGCCTATTAAAATGAATAGGAACCTTAACAAGTTGGAAACAACCCGGGTTACAAGTCACAGGAATCCTATTCAAACGAGAAGGAATCTTTCTAAATCAATAGGAACCAATAGGCCTTCAAAACAATAGAATCCTTTAACAAGAACTGATAGGAATCCTACTAAACTAGTATGAGCCTAATCCAATAGGAATCCTTTAAAATTAATGAGAATCCTATGCGAATCCCAGTAACATGCATAAGAATCCTGTTGAAATTGATAGGAACCTTATTAAATTGGTAGGAGCCTTAGGGCGTGATGTCTTAAGATATGTTGCTAAGGTACAGGTTTAGTATAGATATTAGGTCTTGCTTATCGGGGGATGACTGTTTGAGATATCGTAGCTAAGGTAGTGTTTTTAGGACAGATGTCATGTCTTGCGTATTGGGGCGTGATTGATTATAAGGAGGTTTTGGTACTCCCTCGAGATTTTGCAGGATTCGAGTTTGTTGCTTGGTACTACCTCGAGAAATGGTGGCTGGGAGAGAGCCTCAGATCACGAAAATCATGGAAAACATTGGTTTTACCCATGTTTTTGAAGGATGGAGCCCGAAAACATCGGCAAAACCAAAGTTATCCATAAAATCCATGCTTTTCAAACCATGTGGCTGGGAGCACCCAATTCACGGATAATTGGTTTTACCAATGTTTTTGAAGGATGGAGCCCGAAAACATCGGCAAAACAAATGTTATCCATAAAACCCATGGTTTTCAAACCATGTGGCTTAGACCGCGAAATTCATGGATAAAAACAAAGGAAATTGGTAGGTCCATGGGGGGGGGGGGGGTAGCATATATATATATATATATATATACGCATGTATGTGTGTCTATATACACGTACACTTTCACAAGGTCGTCGAAGTGAGCGGATGAACAAGAAGCTTGAATGCGTACATCCCAACTCAGGCCCCCGTTAAACCTATCGCAGAACCACAGAAGCAGTTTTCTGCAACCCTACACCCCAAACCCGAAACCCTAAACCCTAAACCCTGAACCACAGAAGCACTTTTCTCTAGGGTTCAGAGCCATTTGGGCGGCCTTTGCAAACTCTCTGCGGCTTGGTTCACCTTGCAGGGGCTCTCTCTGCCCCCACCCCCCCTCTCTCTCTCTCTCTCTCTCTCTTTCTGCCTCTCTATAAACACAAGTGTGTATGTGTGTATGTACACACACACATATATATATATATATGTATATTTTGTATGTGTATGTATGTATGTATGTAAATGTTCTCCCTCAAAACCGAAAGTTGTTCTTTGCTTTTTGGTCATTGTTTTTTACAAGCCCATAATTTAGAGTTTCTGCGCTGGGAGGTGCAAGCTTCGTTTCGCCGGTCGCCGGGCGTTGCTGGAAACTTGTGCGTTATTCAACAGATTTCGCTAGGGTTTAGGGTTTAGGGTTTAGGGTTTAGGGTTTAGGGTTTAGGGTTTAGGGTTTAGGGTTTGGGGTTTAGGGTCGGATATAGCTACAAGGGTTTAGGTTTACCTCGCATTCGACAGGTCCAGGTACACGTCAACAGCATGGTAGTTTAGGTCATTGCGCCTCCCCCAGAAACACGCGACAGTGACATTTGCATACACCAACCCGGTAGACCCTGCGAGGCCCAAAACCCTAAACCCTAAAACCTAAACTCAACTTCCCCAAACGCCTCACCCCAGAGCCTGCTTGGCGGGTCTTGTGCATTCTTAAGCAGGGTGTTGTTGCACAAATCACAAATAAGGATAATACAAAAAATAAAAGGTTTTTAGACTTTATAGCGTCTAGGGTTGAGTTATAGAGGTAGCTACCATACGTATACCCCTACCAAGTTATCTGTAGCCATGAACTTCCACGCAGACCCCCTACGCTGGATCCCAGGCCCTATATCCCTACATCCCTAAGCCCTAAACCCTAAACCCGAAACCCTAAACCCTAAACCCAAGGAGATGACGGGCGGCAACTGGGGAAGAGCCGCTCGGCTACATGACCGGTGTATGGGGCTGAGGCTTTTGGGGGTTAGGGTTAGTTTAGGGTTTCAGGGTTCAGAGTTTAGGGTTTAGGGTTTTAGGTTGCCTCCTCAGTCCCTGCTTAAAAAAGGGTTTTAGGTTCAGAGTTTTTGGGTTTAGGCTTTTAGGACAAGGGGGCGGGGGGGAGGGGGGGTGGCCCGCCTCATTATATTTCCCCCTCACTATACTAACTAGAGTTAAGGGACTTATAACCTAAGTTGGGATCCTTATAACCCAATTTAGGATCCTTACAACTCTACTTATAACGAGGGGGCCCCTCCTTGTATAACTGCACCTAGAACCATATTCGGGCACTTAAGGGGCTTCTAAGTGGGATATAAGTACAGTTATAACCGGTTAGTAAGTACCATGAACCTCCAAGTAGGGGCTTTTAGTTCGTGTTCAGGGGTTGAGCCCGGTGTCAGGCACGAGGCCGGAAGCAAAAACTGGTTTAGGGCTTGGGGTTTAGGGTTTAGGGCTTAGGGTTTATTTAGGGTTTAGGACCAAAAAGCTTCTGACGTCTAGCTGGCTGGGCTAAACGGCTACTTGGAGGTTCAGGGTACTTATATGCCTATTATAAGTGTTGCTATAACCCACGTCTAAGCCCCCTTAAGTACCCCAATAGGGTTATACTTGGGTTGTAAGTACAGTTATAGTTGGGTTACTAGGTACCATGAACCTCCAAGTAACAATTTCGGGGTCATAGCGGGCTTGGGTTGAGTTTTAGGGTTTAGGGTTTAGGGTGTAGGGTTTAGGGTTTAGGGTTTAGGGTTTAGGGTTTAGGGTGGCAGGTCAACGACACGGACTCGGACATTACAAACCTCGCCTACTCTGTCACAGACTTGCGCAAGAGCCACGGCTCGCACATAGGGTTTAGGGTTTAGGGTTTAGGGTTTAGGGTTTGGGGTGGAGGGTTCAGAGTTTGCTACTATGTGCTGCAGAACCCCCCAAGACTGAAACATAATAATGCCTAGGTTGCCCTTATAAGGAAGAATATTGTTCATCCTTTGAGGGTTCTTAAGCAAATAGTAGTTTAGGGTTTAGTGTGTAGGGTTTAGGGTTTTGGGTTGACTTGGATGTATGGGGCCAGGTTTGCCGCACGGTTTGCCAAGCTCCCCCCATGAAGTGGAGCACCTACTTATAGCCAGCACTTGAGAAGTAAGTACAACTTTGTAGAGTGGCCGTTCATTTTATTGTTCAGGGGCAAGGGGTAGGGCTGTCCTAAAGCAGCTCCCCCCCAAACCGTAAGTCCTAGTCCTAAAAACCAGCAAATTCTCAATCTTAAAACCCAAACCCAAACCCTAACCCTAAATGAGTTAGGGTTGCAGGGCAAAATAACTCTTAAGCCCATTTAGGGCTGGAGGTTTAGGGTTTGCTGGCTTGCTTCAAAGTTTCATGGTGGTCATGTTTGGTTTCGTGGTGGTCCTGTTTGGGAGTGTTTCGCTACAGTACGTAGCGCGTCTATGGCATGTCAGCCAGTAGAGAGGCCGTCGGCCGTAAATGAAGCTCCCTCTGGTATCTCCTGACAGATCCAAAACGGGTTTAGAGGCTTTATTGCTAGAACTTAGACACATCGTGAATTCTCAAAATGATGGTCCAGTTTTGAGGCACCCTACATACGAGGGGCCGCCTTTTAATATACGGGACCCTAATTTAGAGAAATCACTAAACTACATTCCCTTCAAAACTCGATTCCACACACCTACCCTAAAGCCACAGTCAACCCTTAATCCTTACCCTAAAGGGTCCATGTACCTTATTGTTGTATACTTGGGCCCCCAAAATCCTTGTATAGGTAGTACTGGAAGTCCCAAGTATTGCCGATTTAGGTACATGGACCCTTACTCCTTAAAACACCCCAAGCCCCGTTTCCCGGAACCTTACGGCCCATTGTCCCCCAACTCTCAAGGCCTAAACCCTAAACCCTAAACCCTAAACCCTGAACCCTAAACCCTAAACCCAAAACCCAAAAACCCTAACCCTAAGCCCTAAACCTATAACCCTAAGCCCATGTCCCTAAACCGTAAACCCTACAACCAACTTCCCCAAATCCCTTAACTTGGCAGCTGAGTGGTACCCTTGAGCCCTTTTTGGGGTTCTGGGTTCCGATAAAAGTAACCAGCCTACAAAGGGTTTAGGTTTTAGGGTTTAGGGCATAGTATGGTTACTTCCGCGGTACCGCGAGTTCGCTTAGCCTTGGTGGGGTTCAGGTTTGGGCCTCAAGTTTGGGTTCACACCGGCAGTTACGTTTAGGGTTAAGGGTGCGTAGATCCTCAAAGCCTGCTGTAACAATGGCTTGGTTAGAATATGAATAGGGTAGGGCCAAAAAAATAGGGTTGTGAGGCACTAGGCACTAGACCCCTCATGCAGCCATCAGGAAGCAGCAGTCTCTGGCAAATCAACTCAGCCGAAGCCCATGGCTCAGTTCTACCCGGCACTCACCAGAGGGCTTGGTCTTGAGGGAACTACAGCCAAGACAAAACTGCATTTTGGGGTTTAGGGTTTAGGGTTTAGGGTTTAGGGTTTAGGGATTAGGGTTTAGGGTTTAGGGTGTGTACGGTGCAAATGCCTGCAACTCACATGTCTCCCAGCACGTTCTATGATTTGGCACTCCGCTGAAACGGAAGTGCCAAGCAAACGCTCTTGGTCGAGAAGTTCCTAGAGTCAAGCTTCAGAGGATCTTACTTCGGAGCATGTGGAAGAGGGGTTTTCCAGGTCCAATGTCATGTTTAGGGTGTAGGGTTTTTAGGGTTTGGGATTAGGGATTAGGGATTAGTGTTTAATTCGGGTTCGGGGTTCAGGGTTCAGGGATTAGGGCTTAATTCGGGTTTGGGGTTAGGATGGGACATGTTCTTGGCGACCCGCCCCGCCGGCCGATGGCAAGCGGTGAAGCTGAAACAAGACAAAGCATAGTGCACCGCACGTAGTCGAACATAGGCACGTTATGTGACGTCAGAGCCCCTTAACCCTAACGAGTAACAATCAAAACTGTTAACGTAGGACCCAGAGTAGGCCCTTATTCCCTGTTTTTTTGGGTTGCGGTTCCCTTGTGAACCAAAAAGGGCACCCTTTTTATTCTTAGGCTACTCTTGGGTCTAGTAACCGTCAGTTCCTCCTGGCAGCCTGACATACAAGGAGGGGCCCCTTACTATACTAACCATAGCTAAAGGACTTATGACCTAAGTTAGGATCCTTATAACCCCATGTTTAGGGTCTAGGGTTTAGGGTTTAGGCTCTACGTATAGCTAGGCGGGGGGATGAGCCTCCTTGTAGAAGAAACCCCCCGCCGAGGTATGCAGAAAAAGGAGCCCCGGCGGCGGTCGTTGACCTTTGCCATTTGAGCCGAACCTGCTGAGCTGCCAATGATTTTCAAGCGGGAATCTATGGGGGCCGGCTGCGCACGATTCGCAAGAGATGTGCAAACTCTGAAGGGTTTAGGGTTTAGGGTGAACCCTAGAAGCCCTAGAACAAGCTAGAACATATAAATCCCAGTCATTCAGTGTTTCGGCTGTAAAGCCACGGTTTTTGCTTCAAGTTTCGCTTCTGCGAAGTCGAGCCCAGGTACTGACGTCATGTGCGTACAAGCGAATACGCGCACGGTCGCAGTCCGCCCTTGGAAGCATTCCCTTCTACACTCATGGGGTTCTTAAGGGAGGGGGTTCATGGGGGGTATAGGTACCTAGGGAACCTTAGGGAAGCTTAATTAGGGAGCCTTAGGGAGTAGTGGGGAGTATTCGGGAATCTTGGGTTTTTTATCCCCCTTGAGAACCCCCCTCCGTTAAGAACCCAATACACTTTGAGCAGCCCATAGCCGTTCAGCAGATGCTGACATTGGGGGCCACGGGTTTCATTTCTTCCCGGCACTGCTCCTTTCGGTATTTGACAACTGAGTGTCCTAAAACGGGCATGAGCTCAGTCAGCGCACCCAAGCCCAAGACGGAGTCCTGCATAGAGCCGACACGTTCTCTGCAACCCTAAACCCTAAACCCTAGTAGGCTGAGGGTTTAGGCCCCGAAAGGTTCCCCTTAACTAATATACTCCTAGTACAAGGAGGGCCCCCTTACTATACTAGCTATAGTTAAGGGACTGAAAACCGAAGTTGGGATCCTTAGAACTCTACTTATAACTAGGGGGGCCCCTCCTTGTATGGCCCTTGTATTCCTTTAGGGATCCTTCAAAAGGGACCCCAAGCTAGAACCCCTAGAACCTAGCCAAATGGCCTTGTAATAGTAGTAGAGTAGGTAACCTTCAACCTTTTTGAGGTAATCATCCCCTTATCATCCCAAAGGTTAACCTTTAGCTCCCCCAGGTTACTGGACAACTAAGATGGAATGTGTGGTGAAGATTTGCTTGCTTGGGACTGGATGGTCGCTCCGGCCGCCTCGCGCATCATAGCTTTCACGTAGTACATCTCTGCTGTCTTTTGCTTAGTGACCCTTGTCAAGGTAGCCCAGTGGTACCCCGACTTTTTTTTCAAGGTTCCCTTATAAAGTAACCAACCCCAGAAAGGGTGCCCTTACTGTAACGTGGTTACTGGGCTACCAAGTTGTCGTCTCACGGCCGACTTTGGCTGCTGCCCTCTCCGTGGTTTGAGACTCGCGTGGGACAGAAAGCCCCCAGTTTAGGGTTTAGGGTTTAGGGTTTAGGGTTTAGGGTTAGGGTTTAGGGTTTAGGGTTTAGGGTTTAGGGTTTAGGGTTTAGGGTTTAGGGTTTAGGGTTTAGGGTTTAGGGCCCAACTCATGCAGCCTGAGAGCCAAAGTCTGCATGGCTTTCCTCTGGAACATGCCCATGTGGGCTCAACAACCTCTCTCCCCGAAGCAGCATAAGGCACCGTTCTCAAAGTCCGAGCGCCCAAAAAGCCCGTCCCGTCAAGCGCAAAGTGTAGGGTCTATAGGCTTTAGGACCCTAAACCCTAAACCCTAAACCCTAAATTTGAGGCATCTGCAGGCCAAGTCAAGATTTGGAGGTCCTGCATGGGCTTTGGGTCAGAACCAGAGAGGTTCCCCAGCACGCGAAACCACAAATCCTCAGCTCTAAAGTTGTTTTTTGTTCTGACTCGTTGCATTGGGGGTTTAGGGTGTAGGGTGTAGGGTTTAGGGTTTAGGGGCCATGAGGCCTCGACTTTACGTCTTCTCCCTCATTTTATTCAGAGCGGCCACCCAGCATAGGATCGGGAGAACACTTTTTCAACCCCAGTTAGCAAAGCAGTGCACCCATTTAGACTGATGAACAGGGGAATGAGCTCACTGCCAGAGGGATGCAAGTCTGCCAGCTCATGCGTGGCACACTACACTCTTCCGCGCTTAGAATGCCATGGGCTGATCTGTCACATGCACATCCTACAGGGAGTGGCCCCGCAGAAACCCCCCAATCCCTACACCCTACACGTCCCTACACGCTAAAAAGACCTACCACTAACTTGAAGTGAGCGTACTTGTCACCCAACCTACAGTCCTAAAGTAGGGCCCCTATACACATCTGCTTCTGAACATAGGTGCCACCTCCCCGTAGGACTCTTGTTGCGATGGCCGCTGCGCAGAGCTCCTCGGGTGTAGGTCGAGTCCCTAAACCCTAAACCCTAAACCATAAAGCAGACTACAATGTCAAGCCAAAGCTCCCAGTTCAGGGTTTACGAAAGCACGTGGACCCCTGAACTAGACCCTCCCAAAAAAGTCTTGGTGCCCAGTGGTGCCCTTTACCGTTGTTTTTGGTTCTGGTTTCCCTTATATAATAACCAACCAAAAAAAGGTGCCCTTATTATAATATGGTTGCTGACTACCAGGTACCCCAATAAGGTAGCCCTACAACCCTAAACCCCGAACCCTACACCCATTTTCTAAGGCGTAAACTGCGGCCCTTTTAGGTAGCCAGGCCGCAAAGGCAGGCTAGGGGTTTGGGGCTTGGGCTCCAGCCATCGCCACAGAGTCTCTGCTTAGGGCTCGGGTTTCGGGCTTGGGTTTTAGGGTTTAGGGCTTAGGGTTTAGGATTACCCTACATACTGCCTCGGAACTCCTATTAGGTCTTTGGTGGGCTTGTTGCACCCCCCCGCGCTCTAGCGCTGCCGGTCTTTCCAAACGCCCGTTCTTCTGCAAGAGGATCTTTAATGGGGATGGCACACAGATTGTGTGGACCTCCTGGGCGCAGAACATGATATATCTCGGTGTGGCTTCGCGACTTCTGAGCTAATTATTTTTTACTTAGAGTAACCTTCGCACCCTGACAAAAAGGGTATTGTACCTTGAAAAAAGACATGGGGAGATATACCCAGATATACCCTCTTCTAAATAGGGTTACTCTTAAGAAGGTTACTCTTAATGAGGTTACTCTGAATAAGGTTACCCTCAGTAGACCTACTCGTAATAAGGTTACCCTTAATAAACCTACTCTTAATAGGGCTACCCTTTTAAGGCTACCTTAATAAGGTTACTCTGAATAAGGTTGCTCCTAAAAAGGTTGCCCTTAACACAAGGTTGCTCCTAACAGCGTAGGGTTCATGGTTTGCCTCAGAGGTTTAGGGTTTAGGGTTTCGGGTTTAGGGTTTAGGGTTTATAGGGTTTAGGGTTTGGGGTTTAGGGTCTAGGGTTAAGGGTTTAGGGTTTAGGGTTTAGGGTTTAGGGTTTAGGGGCAAGCATTCAATCCTAGGCCCTGTAGACCTAAAGCAATGACCGACGTTGCTGCAACAGCCCTAGGCCACAGCAGCCCTCAAAGAGTTTTGGGTTTTGGGTTTAGGGTTCAAGGTTCAGGGTTCCCTGAGCAAGAAGCGGTCCCGGCAGCACACATCCATTCGGATCATGGTCAGACGAGCTTGCAACGAGGGTTTAGGGTTTAGGGGGTTTAGCGGGTTTAGCGGGTTTAGCGGGTTTAGCGGGTTTAGCGGGTTTAGGGGCTTGGGGGTTCCCCCCACAGACGTGTACATCGCATGTTTCCCCCGCAGGATGTAAAATCCGAAGCGCACAGCACAGGCGGCCACACTCTCTGACTGCAGAGACTGTCGCCATCCCCCGCAAACAGAGCACCTTGTGCGCGTGCGTTCTGCCAGTGACGCATTCACCCCCCAAGTGCCTCATGTGTTGCAAGTGGGGTTCTAAGCAACCAAGCTTCAGTAAACCCAAAACTCCCTGAAACCCTACAAGGAAGGGGCCCCTCCTAGTTTTAAGTAGAGGTACGTATGCTAGGGGAGGCCCCTCTCTGTGCGTCGGCGTCGAAACGCCCCAACCAAACCCCGAAGAACCTGCATCCACCATCCCACCAGGGCTGACAAGCCTTACATGGCTCTTAGGGCTTAGGGTCTGGGGCTTTCCCTAAACCCTAAACCCCAAACCCTTTTGAGGGCTCTTTGGGCTCGGGTCCCTGGCGTAAAGCAGTTGTTGGCTTCAGGGAGGGTTGCCCCACATTTGCTCCACTAGGATCGGGCCTCCAGGTTGGGCCTCGGGGTTTGGTAGAATTAGGGTTTGGTGTTTAGGGTTTAAGGTTAAGGGTTTAGGCTCCAGGGTAGCAGTTAAGGGCTTTAGGGGCTTAGGCACATAAGATCTACCCAAAGGAAACCACTGGAGCCGGCATCCGGTCCAAATGCACAAGCAGCAACGCTCAACCCTAAACCATGTCGGACGTTTGGGGCGTGAGGCTGATAAAGCCCCTATAGGGTCCCTTGTGCCAGTTTGCCCGGGTCCAGGCTTCAGGGTTTATAGGGTTCATAGGGTTCATGTTGTACTGGGCTGTGCTTGGGGTTAACTTTTCAAGGTCCCTTCTTTCCTTATAAGGGAACCTTATTCGTAAAATCATGTTCACAGGGTTCAAAGCACAACTCAGTAGAGGAGTTCGGCTCCGACGCCTTTGGTGGGTGGCCGCACCAGGCCGCACTCTGCAAGCACGCCTGTCACGCTGCTGGGGTCCAAACCCCGCGCTGGCCCTGAGCCACGAGCTCATCGAGCACTGAGGGGGCCCCGCACATGGGCAAGCGACATCTGCTTCACACGGCGAAGAAAGGGAGTGAGGGGTGGAGGGTTGAGGGTTGAGGGTTGAGGGTTGAGGGTTGAGGGTTGAGGGTTGAGGGTTGGGGGTTGGGGGTTGGGGGTTGGGGGTTGGGGGTTGGGGGTTGAGGGTAGAGTGTGTGGTTTCGGGTTTCGAGTTTTTGCCGCTTGAAAGATGTGAGCTGCTACCTTTGTTCGGGATATAGCCCCTCGAGCTGCTGCCAAGGGGCGAGGATCATCTTGGGGTTGGGTTTTGGGGGGTTTCTAGGCGGTTTTGTCTACTTGAGTTGTAGGGTCCTGTCCTTAAGGAAGGGTTCAACGGGGCCATGGGATCCAAGGTTCCCTAATCCTCCACTACTCCCTAGGATGCC